AACACATTCTGTGATTTTTAGGGAATTGGTTCAAATTTGCTGATTTCATTTTTTCTTAATGAGGGAGTTAGATATTTTTGTTTTTCATTTTCTATAGGGCACATATGCTCACCAGAGAGAAAGAGAGAGAGAAGAAGAGAGAGAGAAAGTGAGAAAGCGCCCTCCCCCGCACACATATACAGGGGGGATGACCATGATGCAATCTTCTCCCTTCCATTCTCTTAAGATTTTGAGCACACGTGCACACACGCACACACATGCGTGCATGGCATTCTTTTCAGTCACCAGGTCTGGGCCTTCACTAGCACAGTAGGCCATGTGAGACCCAGTCACCTTAACCACCATGTCCCCTAGCTGGCCTGGAAATTATATTGTATGATTACTAAGTTTCTTTCCAGGTAATTGCTATAATCTACAGTAATTATAGACTATCTAGAATGCAGAAATAATAAAACAAACCAATGTCAACAAACACGTAAAAGTAATTATTACTGCCTAACTTTAGGATTTATTTCAGTCTCTTTATGCCATATATATATATATATATAATTTCCTGTGAAAAGGCCATATGTTTGTGGGTTTTTTTATGTTTTCATTTTTAAAATTTTTGCCAAAGGGTGTGAGTAGTCACCAGAGACGAGAGAGAGGAGACAGGGTAAGTGAGGAAGTACTCGCCATGTGGATGACCAAGCTACAGTCATTTCTCCTCCATCTCCTTCCTTTCAGGGTTAAAGCATGCATGCATACATACCCAAAGGCTGCCAGGTCTGGGACTCCAATTGATCCACATTGGATCTAGGCACTTGAACCACCATGCCACAGGACGGCCCCCGTTTATGCTTTACTTTCACAATTATCTTCACAAATGTTTCTACCAAAAAGCTTCCAAAACAATGAATTATGTCAAATCTAATAATAAATTATTTCTAACAGGAAGATGACTTCTGAATTATAAGATGATTGAGGATAGATTTGCTAGGCCTAGTATTATTATTCCAAAGTGTGTCTCATAAAAACAATATTGAGTCATAGCTTTAAAATTCAATCTCTTCAGACAGAGCTTTCATAGAGTTAGGCACGATCTAGAAAAAGCAAATATAGTCAGAACTGAAAATTAGTGTTATTGGTAGTATAGTCAAATTCCAAATTAACTTTCAGTGCTCAAATATTTAGAACCTAAAGTCCTCCTTTAAAAGAAGTTGTAGGAATTCTGTATTGCCAAGGCAGTCAAAAAAATCAGAAATTTCCAACATTTCTTTCCCCCAAAAGAGAACAACAAAATAAACAAATAAATCATATAAAATCTATACCTCCAGCATAATTTGAAGACAAATAGTATCAAATTTCAAGTTACCTAGAGAAAGAACATATAAAAACAGCTAGCAGTAATTTATCTACTGTGCTTCCTGAATAAGCCTTCATGAAGAAAGACAATTCTGGAAAAACCTATGAAATTAATGAAGAGAGACTCTAGTACAGAGGCATACACCTAGCTACAGAAAAGGAACTCACAAGTGAGAAGACAATCTTGAAATCTGATACCTCCCTGAGGAAGAATAACACAAAGAAAACAAAGACTATGCATTACATTATTTAAGTTACACAAAATGCCCAGAACAGGCAAAACTATAAAACCAGAAAAATACATGAATGATTGCTGATGGCTGGGAGCTAGAGGATGAGAAGGGAAGGAG